CCGAGAGCTATTACGGAGAATTACAATACGCTATTGGAGAAGCCAGTCAATTCGTTTCAGACCTCAAGCTGTTGCGGTACTGTGTTTATCTTATTTACCTCAGTCTTATTTAGTCTCAGTATTGATTAGCAATGTTAGTACCAGTATACAATAAGTTCTGAAAATGTCCTGCTACTTCTTAGCATTCATGCAGCAAAGAATGTTTGCTTCCTTTTATTTACATTGTTTTGTTGATATTTTTTGTAGGTCTTGGATTTTTCCTCGGAATGAATGAACGCAATGGAGAGGTCGGTGTACAACCACAGCCTTCAGCAGATTGTCGTCGGAAATTCCATTGGCAAAATCGAGCACCGGGAACCAGCCTTCCTCAAGGGGGACCAACATCACACCCCCAAACTACAGACTTACCATCAGGAGGCCTACTACTTGTACTTCGTCGCTGTTCTTGGACTCCTTCTCAACATTCTAGTGGCCATCTTTATTTTCATCAGACGGACTATGAGAAAACTGACTAGCGCTTTTCTGGTTCATGCCTGTTTTTTGGACAGTCTAAAAGCTGCTTACTGCATTCCAATAGCCAACAATCTGATCACACAAATTAAACCCTCTGACTGCGACTTCTTCGGAGCTTCTTATGTGCTTATCATTACGGCTTCCATCTTTAATATGGTGGCTATGGTGTGCACGGAAGCCTACACTTTTGGAGAGGTGAACATTGGTGGAAATTCCCATGGTTCTCTGTGTTGTGTTATTTTTGGAATTATACTTGTGTATATTGCTAGCACCATTTTACATCTAGGACCTACATTGATAGGAGGCTACTTTGATTTTCATCCTCAGATTGGGAGTTGTTCTTTTGTGTTAGGGAAGCAGACGGGCTATGTGGCCCATGTGATGTGGATTATCATCATTACGCTGGCAGTACTGTTTGTAATCCACTTTATCTGTAAGCTGTACAAAGAGATTCAGCTTAACCATCCTAATCGCGTCTCCATGCTGGTCCGTTCATCCATCACAATCACAGACAATCCCCTAAATTCCACGTGCAACATCCGCAGTATGATTCAAGACTCAAGTCAGCGTGCTAAAATGTTTGTGCTCAGCACAATTGCATTTGTTTTGTGTTGGTATCCTTTGTTTTTGCTCATACTTGTTGACTCTGAATTCAAACAACGACCAAAGATGTACCAAGCCTTTAGCTTCATTGCTTGGACACAAGGCACAATTCAGCCCATACTCTACATCTGCTTTGATCGCCATGTTGACATTTTGGCAAAATACATTTACTGTGATCGTTACCGACAACAACATCTGGCTGCCCTTGCGGAATGGTTAACGACACAAGCTGAAATCAACCACCAAGAACAGCATGAAGAAGGTGAAGGTCAAGGTCAAAGTGAGTTTACCCCAGGTCAAGGTCAAACTGGTATTGAGGATACCAGTAGTATTAACATGGATGACTGTATTAGTGCTCTAAGCTCGCGAAGCACTTATAGATCTCGGCCGAGTCACGAGGCCACCCCTGAGTCAAACTCAGACAATACGTCCAGCTTGCTCCTGAGTCGAGCTGAGGCCCATACTTCCAGTAACCCTCAAATCCGCGGAGACTTTCGTATATCATGCTAAATCTGTTTTAAGATTACACACAGAATGATGACTGCTGGTCCATCATTCTACTGCTATAATATATGTATATTTATTTAGATATTAAAGTTATTCACTGGTTGAATCTTTTAGTACAGTTTTATTCTTATGTCACCAACATAGCAAATTATCTTGGAATCTTATGCTTAGCATAATTGTCATGAAATTTTTTTTATTGAAAATATTAATGGTCTGCATAATTAAAATTCAAGACTGACAAGTGACAATTTCCATTAAGTATATAAATGAATCCTTGATATCATCTGTACAAGTGAAAAATAGACATTTGTAACTTGAGTTAATTATTAATTAAATATGAGTTAATTATTAATTAAAAATGATATCCAAATTATTTGAAAACCAAATGCACCAATTCTCTGCAATCAGTCTGGATAATTTTTTTTACCAAATTCAAATGAGCAACATCTTAATCAGCAAAATTGTAGAATCGCAGTCGACTTCTTTCTTTTATTGATTGGACAAATGGGAGTCTTATTTTTGGCCACAAAACGTCCATTAAATGCCTTCTTACATAACCTTGCTTTTAAGTAAATTGAACTGTACAGTGTGATTCTGGTGCGTGAACACTGGTTCAGTCTTGATACTGGGATATTATTTACATACATACCCTTAAGAAATACATAAATCCCTTCATTTAGATGATTTATAACTTTGTCCCTAAGTACCACAAAACTTTGTTCAAATCAATTTTTCTCCAAAAGCCAAAGTACCAGTCTTTTACCATTGCTTTGTTAGACAGTGAATTTGTAAACATTAATTTTGTGATGTTATCCCAGCCTATACCCAGTCTATGACGTTAACTGGTTAGGAAGCTATTTGAATTCACAATTTTTCTTGATTTATATTCACATTCAGACACTGGTTTCAGAATTCTCAAAATATGAATAATATGTCTTCTATCAGTATCACTGATTTACGCAAATATATATCTGGTGTAAGTCGTTATCCTCACGGTTAAAACATAAAGCGCTTCTCTATGATGGAGACCACATAAGAAGAAACACAGATATTACTGTCCTTTCCTATTGCCATCATATGACATTTAGCCATAATAACTTCAGGAAATTGTTTTCTCTCTATAAATTTCTGCCAAACCTACACAAAATATTTAATCAGAAATCTGTAAAAACAAATCTTTGTCGTGGTTTAATGTTCTCTGACATAAGTGAATCACCCCAAACTGATGTTCACATTAGCCGTAACAAACCAGAACTAGAAGGTACATAAGATAGGTTTTATTGACTCTCAGACCTTTCTTTCCCACATTCATTGATTCTTACACTTCTAGTATTTTGAGACAATGAGTTTTTATTCTGAGATTACTTTTAACAAAATGCCCTTTCTTAATGAAGACTAAAGTTTCCCATGTGGTGCAGTGGTCAGAGCATATAGTCACGAAGTAAGGAGTTGGATCCTTAATGTCTCTGGAAAGTCACCCATATAATGCAGTGGTTAAAGCATTGGCTCTAGAGTTGCTGAGTAAGGAGTTGATTCTAACATTCCAGGTTAGTCATATGAGTGGTGAAGTGGATAGAGTGTCTGCTTTAAAGTCTCAGAGTATGGAATTGATCCTTGTGTCGGAGATGTGTCCTTCAGATGAGACTGTATAAACCAACATCCCATGTCGCAGTAGGGGTTGGCATAAAAAAGATCCCTCACTGCTTAATCAATGGCTCTCATTGCTGAATATACCATATATACTTGCCTATAAGTCGGTTGTATTTTTTAAAGTTATTTTGGAGGGATTTGCCATTGACCCGCTTATAAGTCAGTACAATTTTTTTTGCCAAAATCGGGTGACAATTTTAGGTAAATCCATTGATGTTTTAACCTGGTTTTAATTAATATTTTTTGAAATGAAACCAATATTTAATCTTACATCATTAAACAAATAAGTAATGCTCACTTAAGATACAAAAAATTATTAGAATATGTAAATACTGGTACTTTATGTATAATCTAAGAATACATAAATTATCATATATATCCAGACATTTTCTTCGATAATTGTCGGAAATTTCAGCGTCCAGAAAAATACCAATCTCTTTATGACTCGCCTATAAGTCAGACATAGAGTATAAGACCAAAATTTAACCCCCCAAAACCGACTTATAGGCATATATATACGGTAGGCATAGATTTGCAGCCTTTGATGGCCAAGTAGTGACTTCTTGATATGGGTGAAAAATTGTCAAAGGGACATTAAACAAACAAAATCAAGCCACTACTTTATACTTCTTTAAACACACAATACAAACTTCTCAGAGCTCTCTCTCTTATCTTACTATTTTCTTTACACCCACACAGACATGCACAGAATGACACAAATTATGTAATGGAAAGTGATTTATAATGCTATTCATCTTTTGTATATGTGCAGAAACTCTCATACATATAGCAGAAATGTTTTTTGAACTGAGGAATTCATAGAAAAGAGTAGACAATATATTTTTGAAAGAATGATTACTTGTCAAGGCATTTTAGCATAAATTCAATATTTCCATCAGTATGTCTGGAAAGTTATCATTCACAGAATTTGTACAGCAATCAACCTACAATAAGATGTGATAAATCTTCCTCATAAAGCCTACAGACTCATGAATTAACAACCATCAACTTAAACTCCACAAGAATCACAGCAAAGACAAGATGCCTACCAAAATGTCTACTTCATCAGGAAGATAAAGCTGTTAATATAATGAAGTCAATGGAGTCAATTAGACCACATAAAAAATAATCAGAAGCTAAACTCTGGTGTCTCTACCTAATATTGGTCAAGTCTTCCAATCTAAACAAAGTAATCCAGACAATGCAAGCCCTGAACAGTTAAACTGCCAGTAAGAATAGAATAACATCTATATTTGATTTTCATCTTCATAATTAATAATAAAATTATCAATAAACTAGATTTCATGTGTGTATATGTTTCATATATTGCTGGTTTGTAGTCTTACTTCTGCTGGGTTCACCTTCTTGTACTTTGTTTAAACAGAGTAGGCAATTAATGAGTCGTGGGGAAGCCTCTGTCTACCAGTACAGAGAATGGGGGCAGTAGAACACACAGCTTCATTACCTGTAAACCGAGACCCTTTTATCTAATGAATTACCACCTACAACAAATCGTGACTAATAGCAGAAGTACAAAAAACGCTGTACTGAGATGGAGTACCATTAGTTGATGATCTACAGAAATTAGTGCAATACAGTAAATAAAGATGTGTAGTAAACCAACAATGACAGGGTATAGAATACAAGTAGGTGTGTTATACTAACTGCCAGACAGACAGATGTCATGGCTTGCTGAACATCAGAAATCATCTGTTAGAGTTATTTACCTTGGACCCTTGACTTCCTCTCGCACATGCCTATTAAGATGCATGGTTTCCATGACAATTTTATCCACCTCCTCATTAGTGTGGGTCATGTGACAATCCACCTGGTCTTCTGGCTTCAAAATCAAAATTTAATATAATTAATACAGTCAAACTGAAATTAAACTTTGAGATATCCTGATATCATCAGATTTATGAAAATTAGGTTAAAAAACATATAGTAAAAAGTGTTGAGACTGCCAAATCACTGTGACATTTCCCCATTATTTGAGATATTTAAAAGTGTTCCAGATAGCAAAATTCAAATTTATATTAACAATATAGCTGGACATAGAGTAAAAGCTAAAATCATACATGTTAACTCTCCCGATTTAGGCGGGAGTCTACCGCTTTTTCACTCCATCTCCCGCCTACCGATTTAATTCAGAAATCTACCGCTTTTCTACAAAAGCTGCGTCTAAAGTATTTTTGGTTCGCTTGGGTATCCATTTTTGAAGCCACTCTCATAAAATCTCGCTAGATATCGCGTGATTTGACTCGGAATCATACAAACGCTTTTTTTGTACATAGATTTCAAGCACGGATTTGACAACGACAACAATACAAGACTACCAGTGATTACATTGGTTACGATAAATTAATCAACATCCCTGCCATGAAAAAGGAGATACAGCTTTTAAGAATTAGATGAAAACATTTGACATCGTCTTTAAAAGCACAGAAGCTCACAACTTTATCAATAAAGTCAATAGAAATCACTCGATTGACCAAGCCATGTGGCACATCTCTACTTTCGTTTTCGATCATCGCGGGAAATCTGATTTATATAACGAAAGATAGGAACTTGTTTAAGATCTAGATTAAACCATGTCATCATTTGTTTTGTTTAAAAACTGAATGAACATTCAGAATTATTGCTTCTAGGCTATATTAGCAAAGATCACTCTTCAAAAGGCTAAGTAAAGCAGCCAATCCAAGCAAAATGATGAGCATGAAAAATATTTGAATTTGTACAATTTATGTCAAACTTAAGGTGTTTCTGTCTTCTTCTTTGCTGTTGATATTTAAGATTAATTAGTGTAGGTACCTGATTTCATTTAAGGCTCATAATATACATGTATAATACATGAAAGATATCGATAATCCAAGCGTTAAACAACAAGCGCGCAATGCTACCGCTTTTGAGGTCTGAATCTCCCTATTTTTCATCACAATAGGTTAACATGTATGCAAAATGTTGAATTAGTTCGGATTAGACTATTCAACAAAAAAATGACTCTTACTCAATGACTAACTATTTCTTTCAAAGAATGTCAAGTTTATAGACCATTTCTATCAAATTTTGCTGTTAAGTGAACAGAAAGACAATGAGTCTTAACTTCAATAACTTGCAACAACACTGTACCTGTAAATACTAGTACCAAAAGACGTTTTTATATCACTGAAGCCTGAGCAATATGGAGTTCAAGAAAATAAAGTCTGCATAGCGAGATCATTGACTACAAATAAAATTTAAGATTTGCCCGATTGTGACTGTCTGATCTAAAAGAACATCAAGGTCATTGCACAAATCATTTTCCACCAAAAAATTATCAATTCAACATCAAGTCTTGGGGAATAAAAATATATTTTATTAGTACAAATTTTACTAGTAACTTAAAGTCCATGAGATTCTAGATAGATATGAATATTTGAATATTTCTTTGTATGTATATTGTAAAACTTGGAGTTTGACCCCCTCTTGTGTTTCAAATTAGTCTGGAAGAGGGGAGGGAAATAATTTTAATAGGATATAAAATATAACATTCTCTATTCAAAGCAAGCTGAAATAGATTTAGCAGTTAATGAGAAGACAATGATGTTTAAAAGTTTATAACTGAGAAATGACACACCACACACAACAAAAAGCAAAAACAGACAGCTATAAGTCATCTGAAAGAATAAGATGACCTAATCATTTTAAACCTTCTTATGAGGTTGGGAAAGTGTTCTTCTGTTCACATGATTTACAAGAAATCTTAAGAAAAGTTGAATGCTGGTACTTCAGGGAACAAAAAATAACAGAAAAGGATATGAGTGGTGGTTGCAAAGTGTAAAGAGAGACAACTCTGTGTAAATTTCACTAATAAAATATGGATTAGGCCATATAAAATTAATCTTATATATTTTCCCCGCCCGCCCCTCTCAAAACTCCCGCCCCGATGTTTTTTATTTTGATTTTTGGGTATTTTCATGTATTTTTATTCAGTAAGAATTTGGGTCAAAGTTTAAGAGTTATCTCCCGTCTGTATTAAAAGTCGCGTGTCGCTATTTATAGCAAAAATGCCATGTGAAGAATGGAGAAAAATCGGCAATAAAAGCAGTTTAAATGTCTAAGGAAAAGATAATTTGTCAGTATAGAGAAGGCAGAGAAGAAAAAATAGCATACCATCACTGGCAGGAGCAAGTATGTAGAGAGATTGTAACTAAGTAAAAATAGACGAGGAAAATGACACCTGGTCAAGTTATATATAACGATCTCCAGCTGTGTGACTTAGCTTTGAAATAAAAAAAATCTACAACATGGACAGACTTAAGAGAAGGCCTAGATTTTTCAGTAGAATAATTATTAGAACATTTATATAGATTTTGCAAAATAAGAAGTCACGCATACACAATTTATTGGTATCCCCACCTTATTTTGTTCAGGGTGTCTCCGTACGTATAATGTGTACTTGATAATTTGTTAATTAACAATAAATATTTAACTTTTTAAGCGAGAATCTCTCTTTAAATATCTAAAAGACTATGAAAAGAATTAAATCTATTCATATTTGCATTAAGGTAATGAAAAAAATGTGTACGGGGCGTCCATTGTTTTGTTGATACTTAGGCCTATATATGAATTAACAATAATAAAAAATAAAAAATAAAATCCGCCCACCCGCCCCAATTTTTTTGCAAATTAGGATGAGAATCTAAAGATTAATTTTACCTGGCCTTATTTCAGTCTCTGGGTATCATATATATAATAGATAGTATAGATGATAAATACTTCAGCTATTCCAGTTTGGTCCTTTTTTGTAGAAAGGTATTTTAAACACTTTTTAATGTAATACTAGATACAAGATTTTTATTAGTCCAATTTGGTCCCCTGGAGGAGCAAAAAAGATTTACAAACAAAAGAAGGAGGAGGATCCAAATCATAGAATAAACATGATTTTACATATAATGAGAGCAATGCTTAATTGTATAATCGTTGATAAAAACAAATACAGGAGATATACTGAATATACATACATGTATTGTATATGTAATATAATAGATAAAAGTGTGTTTAGTAAAAAAGCTCTCTAATACCCTCTAGTAAATCACAGTGTATTGCTGTTTATTAATGCTAATCAATTTTCGGATGTGACTTCTATATATGATCTACCTTGATCCAGACGTCAGTATTGAGGTAACTGAAGGGTAGAGGAATCCTATCAGCCTTGTGTACAGCTGTCTTACTGAAATCTATCGACCTCCTGTCCAGACGAGGTGGAGTTCCTATTAACCAGAAAAATCTAGAAGTACATCACAATGACCTTATCAATATGTATTAGCGACAATCAAGACAAGTGGATAGAAATCAAAGAACCATCCTTCTTATACAAATAAAAGGATCACAAGAAAATTGATAGTAGACATCTAATACAGGGTGATTTGCACCTGTTTTAAGCCTAGCAATAGTAAAGCCCGCTTCCTCCAAACTTTTGGCGAGACCTATGGCTGGCTGGTCTCCCATTCTACCAGCAGGGAACTGGTCCAAACCAATCTGAATCATCCCCCGTAGGAATGTCCCAGCAGTTAAAACCACTGACCCACCATAAATTCTCTCACCAGATTCTGAAAAAGAAGAGATATGTGTTAACTTTCATGTTAAAATTTGACCAGTTGAAAGAGTATGCTTATTTCTCAATTAGGCACCTGCTCCCATCTTTGAAATTTCCAGGAGTCTGTGTTTTAAGTTCTGTTTACAGATTTGTAATGTATGTCAAGTTTTTTTTAATACAATCACTGTTTTTTTTAACTTCAATTGAACCTTTGACTTCGATGAGTAAATAAAAACTTGCAGTTCAAATAATTTGAAAACTAAGACGAACATAGACAACAGATTACATGTGTAATGGGGAGAGGAGAAAATGCAGCAGACCAGACAGGGATTCAAACCCGGGCCCCCTGAATCTCCTGACAGGTGCTCTACCAACTGAGGCATCTGGCCACCGGCGATTGAATCCGGCTGACCGCCACACACTGATTAAGTAAAGTTGAACCTATTTGTGACTTTGAGGAAATCCTACCTAGTATGACCCCTGAACACCTCTGTTTCATGGTGGGGAGGTCGGGACTCAGACTCTGTCCCAGTATAAAGTCCTCCACTGCCCCAGCCATCACTGTCAGGTTCGGGGTGTTCAATACCTCTCTCTGGATCTCTGTTTTGTACATCAATCGGTCAATCTGGGCACGAGGCCCCTGTTAACGTAAACAATTAAAACTCATTTATTTTCTAGTCATAAATTTTTGTTACAACTACTAAATATGATTTTAAAAAAAACAACTTTGTAAATCATTATATCAAGGTGTATGGATCAGTGTTTATTTACCCAGACAGCTGGCCCTTTCTTTCTATTCAGCATTTTGTAGTGGATCCCTGTTTTATCTGCAGGCAAAAAGTTAATCACATACCAGTGTAAGACTTAATTAAGAACTCTGGAGACAGTCATAAAAACAGTGATTGGGAAGGCCATGAAGGTCAATGGGTCAACTGTCAAAATTTTTAATGGGCCATATTGAAAATGAATGGGACTTCTACAATGTATACATTTTGAAGGGTCATTTTACGACATAATAAAATGACACATAAACATGAAATGTGAAAGAAAATAAATCATATCTAATTTTTCATGCATGCTGTGCAGGATCTTGAGGAATCTGTGTACAATGTATATTGGTACCAGCCTCTCCCAATCACTGATATACTGTATACAGGGAAAATTTTGCCCCCATTTTATTTTCGCCCCCTCTCCCTCGTGGCAATTGGGCAACTTGAAAATGGGGTGAATTCAAAGCAAATGGCATTATTACTTTTAACAGAACTGTGTCTGAGCAAATTCAAAATAGGGCAAAATTGTTTGCAGGTGTTAAAGTGTAAAATTAAAACTGGGGGAAAATAACCCTATACACAATAACATTCCACCTACCACAGACTCGACCACACACTCCATCCAGGGCGTCCACCTCCATCATCAGATGACCCTTACCAATCCCCCCAAAGGAGGGGTTACATGACATCTCACCTACAAGTATCAGGTGTCTCAATTAGTACCCCCCTCCATCATCAGATGACCCTTACCAATCCCCCCAAAGGAGGGATTACATGACATCTCACTTACAAGTATCAGGGGTCTCAATCAGTACCCCCCTCCATCATCAGATGACCCTTACCAATCCCCCCAAAGGAGGGGTTAAATGACATCTCACCTACAAATACAGGTGTCTCAATCAGTACCCCCCTCAGACATCAGGTGACCCTTACCAATCCCACCAAAGGAGGGGTTACACAACATCTCACCTACAAGTATCAGGTGTCTCAATTATTGAATTAGTACAGACAATGTCAGACATATCCTATCATCTTAGACTTAAAGAATACTCTGTGTAACATTTTTATTGGGTACCTGATCATACAAAGTTAAACCTTGTAATCATAAACTCAACAAGACTGAGAAAACATTCAAGATATCCAAGGATTTGAGATATCAAGAATTACGTTATAAAATACTAAAATAATGAGCTGTTTAGACTTCCAAATCACTTTGGCACATTTCTTGTATTCGGGATATCGGTGTTCAAGATACCAAAGTTCAACTGTGCTTGTCTAATTCCTCATAAAGTTCAAAAATTCAAAAACATGAAAAAGGTATGAACTTTGTTCCTATACAATATTTGCAAGCAGTGAGGAGGAGAAAATTTTTTGCATATATTCTCATTTTCAAAGACCTCCACTTAGATTTCTTTTGGGTCATTTCTGGCCAAATACAGAATGCACAACGGAAAATTTTCAGTGTATTCAACAGGAAAGGAGAAAATGTATGGCCCAACCAGGAATCGAACCCAGGACACCTGCATCACTAGTCAGGTGCTCTAGGGACTGACCTACCCAGGCTGATATCCATGGCCCAAACCATTACATTCCTCCCTCCTTAAATGGTCTTCACCCTAGGAAACACAACCCAAGTTCTTTTATTGAACCCTGGCAGGACTTTCACCTGCAACTCCAGGGTTGATCAAAGGCATCAAATCTCTAACAGGTAAGGAGACGATGTATGCCTGGACCGGAAATCAAACCTGGGTCCCTTGCATCATTAGTCAGGTGCTCTACCAACTGAGCTACACACACGTCCAGTCCAAAGACTATTTCTACCTACGTAGCTATTAATAGCTACGTAGGTATTTAAACCTACCCAAAGTAGCTATATTTACCTACTTTTTGTACCATCTGCATTTTGTGACCAAAAGACCAAACGGCGCAACATGGTGAATACCATATATTTTGATACAGTCACACTAATGATGAATACGACAAAATTTTGGCCAAAAAATGATTACTTCCTAAATCTTCAATTTTACATTAATTTCTATACAAAATTGTTAATTTATGAAGTAATCATTTTTTGGTCAAATTTTTGTCATATTCCATCATCAGTGTGACTGTATCAAGAAATATGGTACTCACCATTTTGCGCCGTTCAGCCGTTTGACCACAAAATGCAAGTAAAGAAGAAAGTAGGTAAAAATAGCTACTTTGGGTAGGTTTAAATACCTACATAGCTATTAATAGCTACGTAGGTAGAAATAGTCTTTGGACTGGACCTGACACAGGCCATTATCTAAGTCCCAAACCATTAGGCAGGTCCAGAAAAATCACTATATTTAGCTATATAGCTTAATCTACCTATATAGCTTTATTTACCTACATAATATAGCTTTATTTAGCTATTTCAGAGTAAATTTCTGTTTTATGTAAAGCAGACAAAAAAGTCACATAATGAGGCAGTATTAGTTTTCAACTTTGAAATGGACTGAAAACAATTCACCAAAAACCCACTTATAAAAATGTTTCTCCTTTTGTGCAATTGCAATCAAAGATCTAAAAGTTTTGGGGCTATGTATAACAGTTAATCTGTGAGTAAGCAGCTACTTTAACAAAGAAAAGCAGTTTTGGTCAACAAGATAATTGATTGGTAATAATTGAGCACAATGCAAGGCAATCACATTTAGTCATGCCTCACCACACTTCCAGCTATCCAAACAATAGAGATACATTTTTTGGTTAAAAAGTGTTTAAAAGAGGCAATGATTTTACTATCTATGCCCTAGGTTGTTTTTATCAAACCTTTTAAAAAATATATATACCATAATTTACATGCGACTTTTTGTCTGCTTTTCATAAAACAGAAACTTATTCCAAAATAGTTAAATAAAGCTATATTAGGCAAGATAGAATTTATCTTTAGATTCTCATCCTAATTTGCTAAAATATTGGGGCGGGTGGGCGGATTTTATTTTTTATAATTGTTAAATTGGAAGTATCAACAAAACATGGACTCTCGTAAACATTTTTTGTTATGTTAATACGGCACATGCCAAACAAAATGGGGTGGGGATACCGATAAATTGTGTATGCATGTCAGACTTCCCCAAATGCCTTTTAGTTTTACCAACCTCTGTTTTCTGTAAAATATCACATTCTACTGGAAAACCTAGGCCTGAACAGTTTTAAGATTTAACATTTTCTTAGCATTCTTTAAAGTCTGCCTACGATGTTTTATTATTTTTTTTTCAAAGAAAAATCACACACAGTTGGAGATCGTTTAAAACTTGACCAGGTGTTATTTTTCCCTGTCTATTTTTCCTTAATTAAAATCTCTCTAATTTCCTCAAGCCATTAACATGATTAATACTATCTAGAGGTGTTTATGTTATTTTTTCTTCTCTGCCTTTTTTACACTGACAATTTATCTTTTCATTACATAATTGCCGATTTTTCGCCATTCTTCACATGGCTCTTTTGCTTTAAATAGCGACACGCGACTTAATACAGACGAGGGATAACTCTTAAACTTTGACCAAAATTCTTGCTGAATAAAAATACATGGAAAATACTTTTAACACCCAAAAATCGAAATAAAAAACACCGGGGCGGGACATTTTGAGAGGGGCGGGCGGGGATGTGAATCTAAAGATTAATTTTATCTGGCCTTATATAGGTAAATAAAGCTATATAGGTAAATTAAGCTATATAGCTAAATATAGTGATTTTCCTGGACCTGTTAGGCATTACACCAGTATGGATTCATATCATACAAAACCTGTATCCCTGTACTTGGATATTATGACATAATGTAATCTATTTTTTTTACTTGCCGACTGTACTGATTTTGTGGGTGAGGAGCAGTGTACGGGACCCCATCCGCGCTGAAGCACACGCCGCCTCTGTCCCCGCATGCCCTCCCCCGACCACTATGACGTCATATTTCTGTTCAGCAGACTGGCTATGATTCAACCTGTGAAGTATTTTCCTAACACACATTGAGGGCTTACAATCAGGAATACTGCAGCTGTGTCTCGGAAGTTTCGCAACATTTTTCATCGCCGTTATCATGACCATCCTCCCTACTGTTAAACTAAAAATGTTCAGAGTTTCATCATTTCAACATCACTTGCATTGGGTAACATGTGTCGACTAGTGACAATTCAGCAAAACAGAGCAAATCATGGTTTCCTTTTGATAGTAAATTATCCACTCGAAAATTCCATGTGTTCAATGTTGACAGCAAAAATTCGAACTACAATCCCGAATATTGGAATAACGAGCCCGATTTTAAATTGGTAGCGTTATTCTTGTTCCAGCTTTCGCGAAAGCTAGGAATCAAAACTTTTGAATGAGAAGAGATAAGGCTTTCGTATATTACAAATGCAATTGGGCACAAACACAATGAATACATGAAATCAACTATTCTAGTATGCCCCGATAAAATGTGAGGCTAAACATAAGTTATAACCGGGTATTATCCTTGACAAGGGCTGAACATACTAAATATACTAGCCTATGATTTTTTTTTACCCGGGACCTTGACCTTGAAGTCTGACCTACTTTTCAAAATTTTAACATTACTAAATATATTTGTCATAACTTTTGAAAGAGGAAAGACAGGACGGGACTATTACACATTACCTGTGATAAGGCCTTTCTAAATAAACTCATTTTTTTTTTACCTGTGACCTTGAAGTTTGACTTACTTTTCAAAAATAATTAGATGCATTGTCAGTAACATGATTTTCCGAGCATTCTATGATTTTTCACTCTTTGACTTTGAATTTGACCTACCGGTATAATTATATAAATTAAAAAACAAAAACAAAAAAAACTTTGGCGATTACTTTAAAATTTACTCTAATTCTTGGCCAAATTATTCGAGTAGTATAACCTGGTGTGGGTCAGTGATGATTTTTCATGAATCTCAAGGACTGGGAATTAGTGGAAGGCATGAAAATAATTAATTAGATGATTCAGCTGGTTGTCGGGGGGGGGGGGTCCCTATACCAACCCAGGTTATACAGAAATAATTTGTGTTCCTTTTTTGGATATTAAACAATCAGAGACTAGAATACAAACAAAATTAATTTTTTTAGGAATGACATATGATAGGACATTCATATTTAACATTATATGCCATAAATACGGTAATGATGTCACATCCACTCAGTGAGGCATCGAAATTCTTTGAATTTGTTTGTTATTATAGTATTGAAATAATATTGTAACAGAATGAAACCAAAATAATCCGTCCGCACCCCCTCCAAAGTTATACATCTTTGATGTCAGATATATACCATGTATACTGCATGGCATTATCAAAGAAATTTACCCACATTAAAAGCTGTTAACTGTATACCATTATATCAACCAACAACAACAACAACAAGAAAACGCTGGTATCTTATTTTCGTGAGAGAATGCAAACAATTGAAAGACGTTTTTCTCGCTGTGTGTATATATGTTATCTGAGCGTGAAAATTTTTATTTCATTGTACATGAAAAATTTGGATTGTTGATTTACGTTTGAGGATCACAGTTTAATTTCAAACACTAATATGCACTCTTATGTAAATCGACTTTACTCTGATTGGACGAGAACGCAAATTGCCCTGTTTTATCCAGACTCAGTTCGTTATTCCAAAATGCCTGGGTGTTTGATGTACCAGTGACCTTTTCGCGTAGTCGTCTTACATCAGTTTAATTCAGTGAAAGATCAATCGGAGTTCCTCGGATGACTCGTACCTCGCACATAACCTCGGACGTCAACGGTGATCTTCCATCTTGCTGATTCAGTCATGTGATCTTATTTGAATTTCATTCAAATATTATACTTTTGAAATCCGAGTTACTTTGATGCCCGCCCAACACTGTGTTCTTGCTTTCAAAGAATGCTAACATTCGGTTGTAATTAACACGAGGAATTACAGTAATAAAGAAACCTTTTCTAAGAACTTTAGGCAGAGCGAAATATGAAATGAGTGACAAGGCAGTTTCCGGCGGAGAAATGTAGCGATTGCGTATTATCACATCCGAGGTTTGAATGGAGCGTAGCGGAGTCAGCCGAGGATTGCCGATTGGTGAAAGATAGTTCATTCCGGATATTTCAAATACCACAGTATTTATTAACTCTTCGATTCACGACTTTCACAATTAAGTAGAACATAAATCTCTATTTCATCCATTGGGAATCGCTAATTTAAGTTTATTAAATGCTACCCAGAATTGTTTTAGAATTTACGTTGGGAAATCACGTGGTAATTGATTGACAAAATGATGTGAAAAAATCACATATAAACTGAAAACGATAAGATCGAGAGTTCTGACCAAAAATTGGGAGTTTTTGTTTCATGATACATGTAGGATTTTTTTTTAAAACAAGAATTTAGATGTGTTTGTGAAACAATGATACCCCCGTAAATTGATGTCCAAAAGAAGGTCTTGTCACAAGGAATATACCTCTGAAATATGAAAGCCCTAGTACTAAATGTAATTGTTCAAAAGTTATGGCCAAGGTTAAAGTTTTTTTTAAAGTTAAGGCAAGGTCAAACAGGTTATACCCAGTAAGGTTTTGTCACATTAATTACGCATGAGGAGTATATGAAAGCCCTTAGGAACAACTCCTCAAAAGTTATGGCTAAGGTTAAAGTGTAGTAATAGTTATGAACAAGGTTAAACTTTTTGCGGTCAAGCAGACAGCTAGACAACTAGACAGACGGATGGACGGACAGGGCAAAACATTTAACTCCGAATCTTTATTTACGAGGGCATAAAAATTGCCCTTCAGACAACAGAAGCTTTTCTATATTAATTTTTTCTGTTTAAAGGCAACTATAAAAACAGATGTTCATCTTTCAGTTTTTCTCATTTATGTAGACGCGTTGTTTTCGTAAAAATACCATGGCAGACTGACATCCACCGACTCCTAGTGGATCGTGAATAAGTAAGGCTGTTCGACCAATGAAACGTAAGGTAGAAAATTAAGGCTGACTGACCAATGAGCGTGTAAGATTAACCGACCAATGAAAAATGAAGGAAGATCTTATGGATTGACCTATGAAAAATTGAGGTAAAGGATACTGGTATTCTTTTAAGGGAGATAACTCTTATCATTTTTAGGTCACTGTTTCACTGAAAAAAAAAATAACGATTTTCTCAGAATTAAGCTTATATGGTATTTCATAACTGTCCAGAATTCAATAGTAAACTTCCAATTTAATGAAAAGCGAATTGTACCTTAAAAGAAACTTTAAAATGAAACACACAATACAGTGCATGACGTGTTTTATCTTAAAAGAAAGAATTCTTTATCATCTATTTCTACTTAAGCACGTGAATTTAAAAAAAAGAATAAAAAAAACTACGACGTATTACGCCCTCTATGGACTTGATCACGTGCAAAATATTCTCCTTTTTTCAACAAAAGAGCTAGTAAACTTGTATGTCAATGACAGAATTCGTCTATTAACTTAATAAAATTTCTAGAAGACAATTCCACATTGGTCATTAATTACGGGGATATCTAAGAGTATCTCCTTTTAATTATTTCAGTGAGAAAAGGCATTTTCTAATGAATCGTTATATTGACAAGGGCAGAGTGCTTGAATAGTTGCACATGAGATAGAACGTGTCTTAAGCTTGCTAATTGACAACAATTCAGACTTTTTTCACCCAAGAGTTTAAATTATCTCAGCTAAAATATGACTCGTTTCCAGTAATACACATTTTTTGAAAAGCATTTTTGCAATTATTTGTGGAAAGGTGTCCAATCCAATTATGTTTATCATAATAAAATATTGTTTTAAAAAAAAATTGCAATTATTTCTCTCTATTTTTCCTTCTTCCACGCGGCCGTAAACGAAGCCATTTACCATCGCTGTGCTGTTTTTTGAATTATTTAGAATTTGTTAATTCCAAATTTATCATTATCAATTTTCTTCAATTTTAAATATGAAAGTTAAATCTGTTTTTATTGTAGGTAAGCCACATACGTCTTGTTCAAGGTCATTTGTTCTGGCAATCTTGTGCAAGCCATTCAGACACTGGGCGTAGAATCAATAAGTTTGTTCTACTTCCCAGGCAATACAAAGAAAATGTGCTCCGGGCCAGAGAGAATGGGGGATTTTATTTGAATTCTAGATCTGTGTACTGGTATAATTCATGAGAACAATATACTAGTAACACTGGCTGTTATGACTGCAGAAATACATGACTGTACTACTGCTTTCTGTCAAAGAGTAGAATTCCGTCGAATTAAAATGAATGGTATGTTTTTAAATTTTCGGTCAAGGTTTTGTTTGTTAATTTATAGACTTTCATCTTTACAAATGTACATCTGCTTTGATATGTTTAACTCAGTTACTTTAATCCAAATTGATGTTTAAAAAGCCCTATTGCTATTACATGCAAATTGTTAATCCATTTGATTTGAGAGCGTCACTATTTTCAGTACGAAAATAATTTGATGTAATCCTGACACCGAGATATCATGCACTTTTTCATAAGACCGAAAGAAAAAAAAACTGTGACATGCCTTGACAAATGTTTTTACTTTTTTATTTGCATAATAAATATCAAAAATATCTTTAATTCTTATTTTTCGCTATTGAGAATTGATTTTTTTCCACAGCCGCTGTCAACAAAGAGTCTCAAAAGTACAAAAGCCTTAAATGCAATGTCAAAAGATATAAGCATGCTTAGGTTTCATAAACTAGGATCGAATTTTGCAAAAATTTGGAACTCTGAAATATTAACAGCATGCGAACTGTGATATAAAATCGCTCTGATTGTTTAAAAAGTAATCTGAAATTGATATTAAAACATACCCACGTGTAAAATCTCAATGACAATATCACTGTAGTCTCTGGAGACTAGATATTCCAACAATCTGTTGAAATTTCAATGGGAACTAATTGTGCATCTTTATTAGCATACCTGTTGTTTCGTATTTTCTTATGAAAAACGAGATGTTTTCAACACAGAAAACATTTTTGTTGCAGTAGCATGGTATATTCTTCCACGTCATTAAACAAAACCCCCAAATTATACAATTATTCACCCTCCCGAGTTTTAACAACAGTTTATCATTTATTAAATTTATATTTTTGTATACTATTTCAATTGCATGACATTGTTTTAAGGGGAGAACCAGAAAGTTGTAAGAACTTGTTTCAAATCCTTTCGATTCATTCAATAAATTACCGAATATCAAGAACAAAAAAGACAGTTTAGTTTTTGTTTCCTTTCTCCTTTCCAAAAACTTTGTTACTTGCTTGTATAAATTTTTGTGTAAAGTACTCTTGTAACATACATCTTGATTTTATAGTGCCAAACCATTTTATGTGACGTGTTAGTGCAAAAAGTTTGAACAACAACTTGAGATTAAACATCAAAGGTGAATTAATGTTGAAAATATTACGCTGTTTAGTGTTGAAAATTGAAGTATAGAATTGCATTACCCTCAGGCCTGACCAAGATGGTAAAACATCCATGGATGAAACACCCTAAAAGGGGAACTTTGTGTGAATGCTGATAAACCAATCAATTACTAGTATAATTTCCGATAAAAAAAAGTTAGAACTCGAAAGAACATTAATTTTACATGTTGGTTTTCAAGTAGAATGAAACTAGTGGAACATATGCTAGTAGATGTCAGTTGGCATATTTGAAGTGTAGTAAATTAGAGTTTTCAAAAGTCAACACATGTTATGTCTGAGTCTATATATACATATGAAACATATAACATAAACTGAGAATTTTGCCCCAATATAAGAGAAAGGATCAGTGAAGATGAAAATGGCATTTCTTTCGGTAAGAAATACTTTCTCGAATCTTCAGTTAAAAATGCTTAGAAAGTTTCATTTAGAAAAAGAAAAAAAAACGAAATCGTGAGATCATGATAAAAAATCGTAATAACGTGATAAAACGTCGTAATAATGACATAAAAAATAATATATAAGGTGCATGGGATCTGGTGCAATAAAGAATTAAGCGTCCTCTTTTATTTAACTGTTCACATACGGCATGTGCTCTTGTCATGATCGGACAAAAATTCATTTTGGTTGTTGAGAATATAAAAAAAATTATTCAATACTGACGTGCATATGATTTGAAGAATTTCCTCCTTATATTAGAAAGGGAGCTTGGCGACGTAATGTATGGGTATTAGTTTGATTTCCACCTGAAGAATTACTGGTATATTTAAATTTTGAATTATAATGACTCTAACAAACAAAAAATGTTGTTACCTGCTTTGTCAGCAGGGAACAGTATATAAATACACTGTAGAAAAATTCTAAATATTTAACAGATGCGTAAGACTGTGTTGTCTTTTATTTCGGGTTCAAAGGGAAATGTATTTATGTTTAAAGAATTTTAAGAAACAAAATCACAAGATAATGTTAATATTATGAGTATTTCATATATATTACAAGGAATATAATACTATATCGCTTATCTAAATATCAAATTTAAGGCAACAGCAAAACGTCTTTTCATTGAGAGGTTTTTGAAAAAAAAGTTTGCTTCAAGTAAATACAAAAAGGTCAGTTAATAAATGGGCACATTCACCCAGCTCCATTTTTAATCGATAAAGCAGCTGTCTTTGACATTGCAGGGAATCTATACGCCATCGTACTGGATCAGAACACAAAAAAATGGAGAACAAATAATCCATCTCTATGTAATTAAGAAGTTTGCACTTATAAAGAATGTCTCCTTCGTAAATTACGCGAAAGAAGGTCAACTAGGTATAATTTAGAAATTGTGCGTTTGTTCGTAATGGAATCTTATTGTTCCAACACACTTGGACAAAAGTTTTGTAAACAAGTGAGAAAACCCGGAAAATTAATTACTACTTTACAGTAGTTGGCTTTCTGCATCGAGGTTGATCATTTAAAATTGCCCGCCATTTTTGTGTGTTCTGATCCAATCCAATTAAAATGTAATGCGGAACTTTTCGCAATGTAACTATATGTCTTTTTTATAACAGTTAATTCAGTTCATAAGAAATAAGTAAAACAATGATCAAGTATATTTGTAAATGTTAAGCTTTTAACATCGGGATATGAGAGATCATGAATGTAATTAGGTGAGTGATTCTGTTGTAGGTATTAATTTTGATCTGCTTGATTCTACATCAGTCAGACAGAACTAGCGCCTGGTTCTTACTTAAGTCCCACAGTAGATGCCAAGGTAGGAAGATATTTCTGTACTGTATTTGTTCTTAACAGTTTTACCGACTATATACTCGATAATGGTCAACTATCAATTAAAGTATGCTCACTCCTCCATGACACCTAATCCCATCTCTGATGTTTTAGTGGTCCATGTTTGCTCTGCTCCTGATTTGCAATGTGTAAAGGACTTTTGAAATTGAATGCTGTTCTTTACCTCCATATAATTCATTAATTAAGACTTATTATGATAGGAAAGGTTTTCATTAAAAAAAAATAATTAAATTAAATGAAAGAATTATACAAGAATTACTCTGATATTGTTCAGTGATCATTTAAAATTGTAAATAATAGATAGATTTAAAAAATCGGATCTTTGTATATAAATAGTTTTGCAAAAATGTAAAATTTTAAAATAAATCTGTATGGTGGTAGGGCCATCTAGAGTGTATTAGAACTGGTAAGTATAGGCAAGTAAGATGAGTACGTCATGATTTTATTAACTGTTTACTAGACTATTTCTATATCGTTCACAATGGAAAAACTGAAGTCATCTCGTTTGTCATCCAATTTAGTTGTTAATTGACCTTTCTTGTCTATAGTCAGAAAAAATACATCCAAATATGAATCAGACTCTGTGGTGTTTTATTTTCAAGTTCAGTGAGATAAATGAAAGAAAATAACTGCATTGTACTGTTAAATGATAAAACATTGTCAATATAATACCAGAATGTCGAATTGAAGGCAACGGCTAATATTTTCTTCTGATGTAGAAGTTTGTGAATAAATTATGTTTCATAAGAACAAGAAAGCTATTAAAGGAGCACAGTTAGTGCCCACGAGAATTCCAACAGTTTGTTGTAAAACTTGGTCTCTTAAGACTACATAAATGTTGTCAATGAGGAACCCCAGCATCAATTTAATTTCAACCTCGGAGCATTTGTTTGTACAATCAAAGTGGTTTTAACATAATAGTTTCACTCGTGACATCATAAGATGTGAAAATTTCCAAGTTCTGTTTTTATCGAAAATAATTGTCTAGGATATCAAAAAAGTATATTCATACATTTTTTAAAAAAAGAATTGCTGTATAAGATGTTGAGAATGTGGAAAACTTTCGATGTTGTAGACTTTTGAAAAAATTGTGATGTGAAAGATTCTTAATGTTCTCTAGAGTTTTTGATAATCCATATATGATTAATTGACATCAAGTCTAGAATAAGCTGTAGCTCAGTTCGTATTAAGTTCCAATTTACAGCAGTTAACATTTTTGTAAGGAGAAAAGATAGATTTGTGGAACATTTGCCGGATCCAGCAATGTATTTTTTGTTTGTAAGGATTTTTATGAAGTAGAGAAATCCAATACAGGTAGTGTAGAGAACATTTGCTGCATCCACCAATGTATTTTTGTTTGTAAGGATGTTTATAAAGTAAAGAAACCCAATACAGGTAGAGTAGAGAACATTTGCTGCATCCACCAATGTATTTTTGTTTGTAAGGATTTTTATAAAGTAAAGAAATCCAATACAGGTAGAGTAGAAGGAACTCATCATGGTTGACTGGAATATTAAATGATAAAACATGGACACTGCCATTCTTCGTATAATATTAAGGGATATCCATCTCTTATCCGCATCTCCATCTTCACCATTGAATTAAAATTGCTGAGACTTTCACAGATTCTTTATTACATAATGTCGTTGTACACCTATTTTACTTTTTTATCTTTTTTCGGGCCTCCCAGAGTAAAACATGGACTTTGCTTTTATTGCCATATGGGAGGCAGGGGGTATCATTTAGTTAACTCATTGCTCATAGAACCTTTAGTTCAGAAATACCTTCGACTCCGGTCAGTCTTACCTGACCATAGTACGAATAGATCTCGTCAAAACCCAATAATAATAGTACAATAATAATATAATATGCATGTTTTAGATCTCAGACTACAGTTGAAGTCTAACAACATTAAATTTATTTTTCTAGCAATTAAAAAATGCTAAATCAGACCTTTTGCCTAAATCTTAGTATTAATTTAAAACTCAATAGTATACTGTATTAGAAAAAAATCTTGAAAAGGAAATTCTTAAATCTACATTTGTTGTTCTTAAATCACTTGATAGGCTAATCAAAATAGAAACTATAAGAAATACCGTTATACATCATGTTTCAAGCTCAAAATACTATCAAATTAATCCATATAATGACACTTGGTATATAAATTGTTGATTATCAATTATTAAACAGGAGGAAAGCCATATTACTTTGGAACCACAGACTTGCTGTGCAAAATCGGACGTAGATCAGCTCCGAGTCGCTTTACGCTGAGCGTAAGTCACCGCTGGATCCTCTTTGACGGGGAATACTTTGAGTGGGGCGTCCATGGGCAGTCCTATTACTATGGTAACACGCTGACGGACGGGGATCACTGTCATACTGAGCGAGAGGCGGATCCCGCAGGATACAGTCAGCTGGACAGAAGTTGTATCGAGAAATGTGCTCGATCGTACAAAGGGAGGTATGGCGCTTACAATCTGTTGACGAACAACTGCCATGACTTCGCTAACAAATTATCGGAGGTTTTATGTAACCATACGACTTGTCCAGAATGGTGTCAATAAAATATGATCAATCATGGTGAATATGCTAAAGATGATATTTGTGTAACTTAAGTATTTAATACAGATCAATGGGACTAACACTGCGAGTCTTGGCAAGTATGGTAAAATATTATCTTGTTTACAACAACAAAATCCACAGGAGGCACAATGAAAACAGAATTCTTGAGATTTTTAGAAACAAGATATAAAATAAACCTAATAACACGTCCAATACGGGTATATGCTGCATTAGGTATGTCACTCGTGAAATTTGTTAAATCAAGGATTTTTTACAGGCACGTAGCAACAGGGGGGGGGGGGCTGGGCCCCCCCCCCATTTTTCCCCAACCTTACTCATTTTATAGGAAATGTTAGTTGAAAGTCAAGTTGGTCCCCCCCCACTATTAGTGATGTACGAAAAAATTTAGTATAAAAGCTGGTACTGAAAGTAGTTGACATTGAAAAAAAAAGTTGACATTGAAAAAGAAGTTGGCCTCAATCCCCCCCCCCCCCCCTCCACGAAATAGGATTTTCGACTTTGGGCAAATTTTTTTTTTTTTTTTTTCTGCTTGTCAAGTTTTTCAGGTAAGAAAAAATTTTTTTTCTTTGCCTGGACCCCCCACTTTCAAAAACGATGCTACGTGGCTGTTTTGAGAAGTGTATTTTGGATAAGTACTCATATAGAGTGACTCAAAATCGCAGAGAAAATAGGGGGTCAGTGTTCATTTTACTGATCTACGGTACGATGAAGTTGACCTTTTTGCACTTAAATTTTAACTCTGCGGTTAATTACTTTAACCTTTATCATATTTTATCAGATGTAACAATGGCAATAAATATGATTTTATTTTAGGTAAAATATTTTGAATAATATTTATCATTGAACATATCTCGCAAATCAATGCGCGTAAATTATTGTGTGACCTTTTTGCACTAAAAAGTAACATATTTGGGGTATTAAAAAAATAAATAGGCAATAAAACATTTTCTTAAATCAAGCTTTTTACGACTTAAGTGCTGATCAGTCACAAGTATCGAGTACTTTAAAATGATAAAAGAAAAAGTTGGGGTCAGTGATGTTAATTTTGAAATATTGGTTAAAATATGTGATTTTCAGGCGAAAAATGGTGTAAATTTTATCTTGACTTATTTGACATATCTTCATTTTTTGGCAAAGTTTGTTAATGGAAGGTGTAAAACGTGATCAAAAAAATATAAATTAAGATATTAAATATTCCTAGCAATATCATAATAGAAATATTCTCAGAGTAAAAGTATGTGAGGCTAAAGTTCCAAGATATTAAATTTAATAAATGTGCAGATTTGCAGAATTATCTGCTAAATATCGTTCCACCACAAGACATAGTCCCTCATAAATCTTGCTTCTTTGTAGCTTTTGAGCAGTTTTTTCGCTAAATGTTAAAACATATTGTTGAAATTAAATATGTAATAAAAATTGAATTTTAAAAATTTTTTAATAAGTAGTTTTGAAGTAAGAGGTTCTGTGTGAACTTTTCTAAAAAGCTGACGAGTGACATACCTTAAAACAAAAAGAGTTAATCTTGGAAAACAGATACAAGGATTCGTAGTTGTACATGAAATAGAGAATTCTAAACTAAATGATCATGAATGTAGCAACATATAAAATTAACAAAAATAAATTGTTTTATGGCTATATATTGCCCAAAGGATATATCTCTTTTCCGAGAGGAATACTAGTATTCAAAAGGATCGATTAATTTGTCTGCACACCTCAGTGCTTAAACAAAGAAATGCGAACGATAGTATTGTTCTCCCGCCTACCTCCAAGTCAATTTTCAAAAGTTAACATATTCAAAGGATTTTTGATATTTTTATAGATTTTTTTTTATAGATTATCATATGAATTTTCATAAAACATTTCTTATTTGGGAAAAGAAAGAGAGATAACTCTAAAATTTTGTTGAAACTTGTGTTTTTCACAATAGAAATCAAAAACGGAAAATATTTTTAAAACATCTCCCCGTGACACAAAAAATCCTTTTTACATGTATTATGGACTGTTATTTTACAAATTCTTACCAAAGCTTTTTGTGTGGTATCCTTGGAAGAAGGCAATTTTAATGTGTTAACTGAAGGACCAAGTCGCTTCCGAGGGGAGATGATTAAGAAAATACAAAAATAGAGTGGGGTCTTTAAAAATCTTTTCAAGAACCACTTGGCCTGTTAAACTAAACTTATTTGGAAGCACCCGGGGGTAGTGTAGATTCTTAATTGTTCGAATCATGGTGCACGGGGTTAGACTGGGCCACAATAGAGAATATTGAAACGTATAGTAAAAAATATTTATTTTTTTCTCTCTCTAAAGAACCACTGGGTCAGTAAAGCTGAAACTTCTTTGGAAGCATTCTGAGATAGTGTAGATTGTATTTTTAGGTCATCTGAGTAAACTCAGGTGACCTATATTGCTACATGTATCCGTTTTCGTCCGTCGTCGTGCGTCGTGTGTTAACATTTGAACATTTTCAGCTTCTTCTCTGCAACCACTCAACCAATTTCCACCAAATTTGACACAAAGCATCTATGGGTAAAGGGGAATAAAAATTGTGAATTTCATGGTTCCTGCCCCCCCCCTCCCCCGGCCCCGGGGCATGAGGGGTGGGGCCAAAACCACTAAAATTAATGCAATCTTTAAAAATCTTCTTCTTTACTCCTGGACATCAAGCAGTCAAACTGTTTGCATGATTGTAATCAGCATTGAGTCCTCTACCAAAATTGTGAAAGTCATGCTCCCGGGATCAGGGGTTCTAGTGCTAGGGTGGGGCTACATATAGATTATATAGTGAAAAAGCATTATTTCTTTGAAAATCTTCTCTGCTCCTGGGTATTTAAGGATATCCGATCCTCAGCCAGGAAGGATAACTCCAAAAATTAATATTTAATTTGAAATGCATCAAAAGGAAGCTTGAAAATGACATTTTTTCATGCAACAATTTTCATTTTATTCATCTTTATAAGATTCAAGGTTTTTGGAAGTCTTAGGAAAGGTCTTATAAAAGTTGACATTTGTACCCTAAAAAAAGGGGGGGGGGGGAAAAATCAATAGTTTTAGAGAAATAAGATTTTCTTGAATCCAGCTTTAGATACCAATGCTTATTAGCAGATATGAAAAAAGAAGTGATTTGTGGTGTCTGTCAGTGATAGCAAAAGCCTTTTACTCTATGTATTATAGAATACATGAAGGAAATAGAAGACAAAATACCAAATAAGTATAAAAATCATGACAATTTTTCTGAATGCCTGGATACCTATCGTTTTTTAACCTAAAATATATGTGTTGATCAATTTGCAATTAGAAAATGCATTGCTGATATTCCAATTCGCTTTTTCTGCAAAAATATTGGAGATTTGACAATTTTCCCTATATAATATGATCAACTGTAATCTTTAACTTTAAAGAAATACTATGGATAGATTTACATAACTTTGTGGATTCAGAGATACTTTAATGAGTATTTTTGATTACTTAACTGCTAATTTTATAAACCTGGGGATCGGACTACCTTAATAAACAAACCAAGTACATAGTTATGTTGAATAAGACTGCCTATTCCGAACTTATGAATTTCATGGCCCAATTTAAGGGTCAGGAGTTTTTAGGTGCTGGGGCGGGCCTATATAGATTATATAGTGAAAATGCATTATTTCTTTGAAAATCTTCTTCTCTCTCCTGGGTATTTAATAAACAAACCAAGTACATAGTTATGTTGAATAATGCTGCCTCTTCCAAATTTGTGAATTTCATGGTCACGGGGTCAGGGGTTTTGGTGTTAAGGTGGGGCTCTACCGATTATATAGTGAAAAAACATTGATTCTTTAAAAATCTTCTCTGCTTCTGGGTATTAAACCAGTAAACTATGTACATAGTTATAATTTGAGTTTTAGTTCTGCCAAGTATGGAATAAACTGTACTTCGTGAAAATGCGATTTAATCCAGCTGAAACAGTCCCTAAAGCTATTTTCCTGTCAACACGCTCGATCCTCACTCTACATATTTCAAATACATGCTTGTAAATCCCTAGAAGTCATATATCTTCATTTTTGTAATTTTAAGTAGTCCAGAAATTGGGTTCCTTTAGTTGCACATTTTACGTCATGCAAGCAAAAAGGTGACAGAACTTCTGAATGAACTTCAGGAATACTGTGCGAAAGTATATTCGAGAAGTGATGTAAATAAGATGTGAATACTTAAATTTCCGAGGAATTTTTGGAACATTCGAAACCGCACAATTTCACCAAAATCAACAACATCAAAACTTATGCCTTTTCACCTCTTGATCCGAAAGATTAATGTCCGAACCTTTTGACATCATTGACAGCTGCTTTTGCTATAAAAATACTACGTCAATTTACTTACCTTGTCATGAATTGTTTTGTTTAAAACAATCTGATTGTAACACAAGTACTGTTAAGTTGATACATGAATTAAAAAGAGGTTTGTGATATGATTTTTTAGGAGACCAAGTCTTTAAACAATCCCTTTGAAAGCAATTGGGCTCCGTTATTTGCAGACCGAGGAGAAGGGGGAACATGACGAGCGATAAGCCCATAGCGCAACATTCATTCAATCATTTATTTGAATCTCTTCACCATTTTACAATAGTGTACAGAGATACAAAAACAAATAGGTGATTTTATATATAAAAGTAGGTCTAAAAGGCATACGTGAATAAGAAACTAAAAAAAAATGTAGGTTGCTATAAATGTGAAGTATGGGAATTTAGGCCGGGGAGCCGGGGAGCATATTTTATTTATTTTCTTTATAAAGGAGCACAATTTTCTCAGAAAGCAGTGTTTATTGTTATTCATAATGTTTTTAAAACTAATTACATTCTGAAATTTTATGTGTTTTTCTGTTAAGCATAGCGTTCTTTCTGTTTGTAGCGAGCTGCACTTTAGTATGTAATGAAACTCATCTCCGAGCTCTTTTAGATTACAATGGGGACAAATTCTATCTTGTCTTGGTACACTGTAAAAAATAAGTGTTTAATAAATA